GGGACCTTTCTTCCAGCAGGGAGGCAAATGTTGCCTAGTGATCTGCATCTGAGCAGAGGAGTCAAAAACTCTAAGTGCTAATCATGACTGTTGAGTGTCTGGGTTCATGATCCTCAGCAAGTGATTTAACCCTTCTATATCTCTACTCCCCCAACAAACAGGTAAAAATAATGACTTACCACCTAGGGATATGACAGAGTGAAAGAACGACTGTGATCCACAGATAAATGTCGAGTAAAAAATGTCAGTATAAATCCACTTTTAAATCAAACCATGTGCTGGGCATGATGGTGCATGCCTATAATCCCAGCACTCAAGGTTTAGAGGAGGATCTCAAATTCAAGGTCAGCATCAGCAACTTAGTGAAACTCTATCTTGAAATAGAAGTTTTTAAAAAAGCACTAGAGATGTAGTTCAGTGGCAGAGTACCCCTGGGTTCACTCCCCACTAACCACCCCTCCCACATAGATACATGAACACACACAAGTCAACCCATGTTTTCAAACCTTGAAAATCATACTATTTAAATGCAGGCTGCCTCTCTAATATCCCTTCTGCCTCTAGTGGAAGTAAAATAATATAAACCCATGAGGTTCTGTTCAAGTAGTTCCCTTTCCAACAATTGCAGGCTTCTCTAAATATTCTGCTCATTCTTTGGCTAATGGCTTAGAACATCAAAGTTTCCATTTTTACTTGGTTGAAAGCAATCCCATGCATCTGTGGATAAATTTATAAAGTGACAAAGAAAAAACGGATTATGTACCCCCTCCCTTTCACAACAACAACTCAAATAAAACTAAGTTTGATGATTCGTCCTATCAAAAGTGATGAAATCAGCTCATCAGAAACATGACAACAACCATACTACCGGGTTCTGTAATGGGTATTTCCCTACATACTCAGATACTATGGTGACAAGCATCATATAAATAGACAGGAGGCAGTAAGGAGTAGGTCAAGGCTTTGTATTTGTAAAATAGTAGGAAAAACACATCAAGCAAGATTGAATCTCCAACTAATACAACTACTTCCTCCTCATCCACAGATCACTCCTGGGAATTCATTATGGGAACCTGGGGAAACTCTGGCTATCTTTTCTAATAATGAAGAACAACTGTAGTCAAATAACAATGGAATATACACCAGCACTTGAAGTATACTGACACTAAATGTCCAATTCCAAATAAAAAAAGGCATCTGAATACTGGCTAATTGTATCCTAGACATCAAAGGGCTCCTATGTTTCCAATCTAACACATGGCTACTGTTTTATTTATAAATAAAATTCAGTTATAGTTTGCAGCACATGTATGGGCAAGCATATACCCACATGAGCATATTTTCCATAATGAATTTCACATACGTCCCTCAAATCCAAAAGTCTAGAAGGCAAAGAAAGAGTAAAACATGGGTATTCCAACATAAGAGGGGTAGTTCCAGCCAAGCAGTGGGTGGATCCACCACAGCCACACTTGWATTCACTGAATGCAATATTATACATTACTTTGGGCTCTGATTGAAGTGGATGCAATGTTGTACTTTGCGGCTTTCATTAACACCTGCTGCTCTTTATCTCACTGTACATTCCTCGTATGAATACAGAGAACCAAGATTCCAGGATGGCTCACTCTGTTTATATAGGAAAAGAAGCTAACCTCTTTGGGCAGAGAACTCTATTTCAAGTATCTATGCCTTAGGAACAAGCAGTCACCAAGGCCTCACTAATGACATTCATATACACATCCCATCAACCCTTCAAAGGCCTTAGAATGCAAACTAATTAGTTCCGAGATAGCACATGACTACAAACAGCACTGAACATGAGGGAAGTTGTCCAAGACAAGTCAACCAACAAGCACAGGATAAAGGATGGTCATCTTCACAAGTTACTAGCCAAAATGGCAAAATGCTAAGAGTCAGAAAAGATAAATATAGGGGCTGAGGTTGTGGCTCAGTGGTAGAGCACTTGCCTAGCATGCATGAGGATGGAACTGGGTTCCATTCTGAGCACCACATAAAAATAAAGGTATTGTGCTCACCTACAACTGAAAAATAAATAAATATAAAAGATATTTTTAAAAATGTTTTTTTAGTTGTCAATGGACCTTTATTTTATTTATTTATATGCGGTGCTGAGAATCGAACCCAGTGCCTCACACATGCTAGGCAAGTGCTCTACCACTGAGCCACAACTCCAGCCCCATAAAAGATATTTTTAAATCTCTTTAAAAAATAATCATCTGGCCAGGCACAGTGGCATACACCTGTAATCCCAGAAGATTAAGAGGCTGAGGCAGGAGGATGACAAATTCAAAGCCAGTTTCAGCAACCTAGTGAGGCCCTAAGCATCTTAGCAAGACCTTGTCTCAAAAATAAAAAATGGACTAGAGATGTGGCTCATTGGGTTCAACCCCTGTTATCAAAAAGAAAAAGAAAGGGATAATCATCTAGCTGTCATATGCCTTTAATATCAGTTACTCAGGAAACTGAGGCAAGAGGATCACAAGTTTGAGGCCACCCTTGACAACCTAGCAAGACCCTATCTCAAAATAAAGAGGGCTGGGATTGTAGCTCAGTGGTAGAGTGCTTACCTAGCATGCCTAAGGCCCTACGTTCAATCCCCAGTACCAAATAAATAAATAATAACAGATAATAATCAGTTTCAGCAAAAATGATAGTAATGCACTCTGGAGTTTATGACACTTATACAAAGTAAAATGTATGAAGACCATAGCGTGAAGGAAAGGAAATATGGTTCACAATGATAAAAACTTCAATTTATCAAGGGGACAGGGAATATAAGATGGAAGTTGGAGAATAACAGGAAGCCTTGGGAACTTCAGGGGGACAGAACAGGGCAATATGGAATAGTATGGAATAGGACAATGAGAAAGAGGACAATGGACAATGAGGATGGGAGAAATGTCAGAGAGATCACAGGGATCAGAGTTAGGATAGTCAGAACAGAAAGGAAAGAAAATAGGAAAAAAGAGAAAATAAAACCAGAAGGGACTCAGAAGCAGCAAGCAGAAATAATTACTTCCACCAATTGTTGCATACTACAACAATGTATAACTTCATCTCAGTTACAGATATAAACTATTTACATTTGCTTTAAGTCCTGTGACTATACGAAATACACAGATTTGGATCATTTGTGTGCTTTCTCTTTCATTCTAGACTTTTAGAGCCAATCATATTATTATCTACAGGCAACAATAGGAGTCCTTTATATCAAAAAGAAATATTGGCCAGGTGCAGTGGCACACACCTATAATCCCAGCAGCTCAGCAGGCTGAGGCAGGAGGATTGAGAGTTCAAAGCCAGCCTCAGCAACAGTGAGGCATTAAGCAACTCAGTGAGACCTGTTTCTAAATAAAATATAAAATAGGGCTTAGGGAGGGGCAGGTGTTGTGGCTCAGCATGTGCGAGGCACTGGGTTCAATCCTCAACACCACCAAAAATAAATAAATAAAATAAAGGTATTGTTTCCAACTACAACTAAAAAATAAATATTTAAAAAAAATTAGGGCTGGGATGTGGTTTTAGAGATCGAGTCCCCTGAGTTCATTCCGGATACCAAAAAAAGAAAAAGAAAAAAAAGAAGAAGAAATACTGCTAAGAAACTCTACTAACTTAAGTCATTTCAATCTCTCTTGATAGCTCTTCAGTACTTCTGACATCTCAATCTCAAACTTTCACACAATCTTACTTCTCCCTCCTAAAACACCAAAAGGATACGACTGCCAATTAGTATGATTCTCCTGCTCCTCTCCCCGTCTTCACCACCACAGGCAATAACTGCAAAACTTTGCTAATCCATTAATTAAAGATCTCTATTTCCCATTATGGAAGACTAAATTTAGATAGCCAAATTGGGTTGGGAGGAAAGCATGTGTCACAACAAATGAGATGAATTCCATGGAAGGGGGCTGAGTTACTGGCCTGTTTATTATAAAGCCTCTGACATTAACATGCCCTCTTCTGCTTAGAACACAGAGAAACTCCCCCATGGGTGGGGCAACCATTCATCTCTACTATCATCTAAAGTCTAGTCTATTGTATCATTAGGTCACAAAAGCCACAGGACTATCAGCAAGTGACTACTTCAGAGAACATGTCTTCTCTGCTTTTCTGAAACCTCCAATTTAATCACACAAAAGAAAGGGTGGTAAGCCAGCATTAATTGCACCCTTAGAGAAGAGCCACTTCCCGCCTGCAAAGATGGCAGTGACTTTACTGGGCTACCAAATGGATATAAAGACAAAAGTAAACACTGTAATTTGCTGTTTTGTCTCTGGCACAGGGGGAGTGGTAAAATCCACACTGTCTGTAAACAGTAATAATGCCAGATGTAACAAAAAGAACAGGATTCCCCCCATCTCTCCACCCCCATCCCCACCCCCTCTTCCTATGACATTTCTCTTGAGATTACTCATCTTGAGGAAACACACAGAAGATTCCCTATAGTCCATATGCTGCTACCAAATGGAACAGAGTAAGAATCCAAGTTTACACTGACTCTTCATTTCTTACACAAAGAAAGAATCATTGGAATTCAGGAAATATTCAATGGTTTTTACCAGCAGGAGGAGGAGGAGGAGGAGGAGGAGGAGGAGGAGGA